TGCAGCCATCATTGTTGTTTGGTGGGTCCAGGCTGGATTCGAACTGGCCAGCTCAGGTGTAGTGGCTGGCACCTTGGCTACATAAGCCACAGGCGCTGAGCCGCAACCTCAAACTCTTGAGCTCAAGCAATCCTCTTGCTTTAGCCTTCCAGAGTGCTAGGATTACAGGTGTGAGCCACACTCACCACTGTACCTCTGGGCATCTCTCCCATTGGCTGTTCCTGAGCTTTATCCTTTATAAAAAACTATAATTGCAAGTAATGCACTTCCTCATGTTCCGTGAGTCGTTTCAACAAATTATCAAACCTCAGAACCCCTAAATTTGTTGTCAGCTGGGCGTAAGTGAGTATAGCCTGCAGCTGGTATGTGAAATGAGGGCAGTCTTGTGGCACTTGTGGCCTTCATCTGAGGGGTCTGCACTATGTCTGGAGTTAGTATCAGGATCAAATATAATTGTTAAGACACACAATTGGTATCAAAGTGTTACAGAAATGATATGGGAAAAAGATACATATTTGGTCTCAGGAAAAAAACACACACTCCCCCACTGGAATGTAAGTTCGTGTGGGAGGACAAGGCCTGTTCTGCTTCTCATTGAAGCACCCCAGTACCCAGAGGAGTACCTGGCACATACGAGGTGTGAATTCATTCAGCACTCAGTATGTGAATGTATCAATAAATGAATAACTTAATATAAAGAAGAGGGAGAGGAGCTGTTCTGTTTGTTCGGTGGTTTTAGCAGGGAGAGGGGAGAAGGTTGGTTAATGTTAGTTGCAGGCATGCTAACTTTTAAATGCTGAGGAATGTATTCAACTGGGAATACGGAGTTACAAAGGCATCTCTGGGCATGGAGCACAAGTAACAAGAAGCTAGAGTTGTATGGACCAAACAAGATAGAGGCAAAATGTGAGGCAACCATTTCAAGATAATTGGCTGAGTTCTGAAAAAGGCCCTAGAAACATAAAAGCAAAGCAGGCATGTCGAGCCTTGTGGCAGTCCACCGCAGAGGTCAGGGAAACCACACCAGATGGTAGGGAAGCTTCTTAACACAGCCAGAGGCCCCAGACCTAGCACTTCTTTCCCCAAGTATCAACTATATAACTCTCCTCTCCCATTGGATCATGAGTTTCTTTCTTTTTTTTTTTTTTTTTGAGACAGAGCCTCAAGCTGTCCCCCTGGGTAGAGTGCCGTCGTGGCCTCACAGCTCACAGCAACCTCCAACTCCTGGGCTCAAGCGAGTCTCCTGCCTCCGCCTCCCAAGTAGCTGGGACCACAGGCGCCCACCACAACGCCTGGCTATTTTTTGGTTGCAGCCATCATTGTTGTTTTGGCGGGTCCGGGCTGGGGATTCGAACCCGCCACCTTAGGTATACGTGGCTGGCGCCTTAGCCCGTTGAGCTATAGACGCCGAGCCGGATCATGAGTTTCGTGAGGGGCAAGGCTTTAAGTTCCCTATGCTTGGCACATGACTGGTGCCAATAAATGTTTATCAATTTCAGCTATGATTCTGTCCCTGAAGCATGAGAAAACACATGGGCACCAGATCACTTACATTTAATGAGCTTTCTTTCCAAGGCCCTAAAGACTGGTATCTAAGCTTAGTCTTCTCTTATACATCTATTTATTACACTCTGAATGCATCCCCCAACAAGGCCATGGCGCTGGCACACTGAAATGAGGCACTGCAGTCAAAATACCTACCACTTAGGAAAAGATGCTTAAAGGAAGACAATCAAAAGTCACAACACATCTAGAGAAACCATGCTTTCTCAGAGGTGGGTCCATGCTATTTTTACCTGGGGAGCTGCGGGTGGCTCTGCGTTGGGTGGCTTGACAAAGAAGGGAATGCGGCCCCTCTGCCAGTCATTGAGAACCATTTTACCGACAGTCTGCAAGTCGGGTTCCCCACCCTGAAACATGAGAGTAAGATTCCCAATTAAATTCAATGAAGAAAACCACTTTCCGCTTTGGGAGCATTTCACTTGTCCTGCCTGGTTCTACACTCACTATGGGCCAAGTTTCACACAACTCACACAATACATAGAAAAAAAGGTCCATATCACATACGCACATGCCTGCCATATCTACCAGTCTAAATTCTCACGAATCCTGGCTCACCTTCAATAACTTCCCGGTCCGGAGAGCTAGCTTCTCAAGAAAGTCCTCGGCATTCTCCCAAGAATCAATCTTGTATGTCTTGCTGACATATTCTGGCTTTGCTCGTTCAAGTACAGCACCAATGTGGTCTTCAGGAGTCTTAATTTTTTCCACTTGAACCTAAATGGTAATAGGAAATCTCCTGCTTACAAACTTGGGTTATTGGGGAAGTAGTGAAGTTCCCTGTGTTCTTCGTAACACTATTTGAAAACAGATTTCAACATCACAAGAAAAGTGGAGCCTGGCAGGAGCCTGTCTCCAAAGTGGCTAGACATGGTCAACTGCAAGAAGCACCAGTGAAGGCTGACCACAGCCACAAAGCCCAGAACTCCGCTTTAATCACAACTCACCACAAACTAACTGTGTGGCTTCCACAAACAATTTAAACTTGGACTGCTTCACATTACTCATTTGCAGAAATGGTTAAAAGGCTGCCAATCCCAGGACACAGAAAGACTGGAATAGCTTAAGAAAGGAGAAGAGGACTGTGCACAGGATGTACACCCCACAGCATGGTTAAGGTTAAGTGGAACCATTTAACGTTCTCAGGCACATTCAGAAGCAAGTAGGAAATGACTGGGTTCCAAAATGACTCAACTCATAAACCCACGAGGATGAATTAGCACTAAACATAAACAGGCTCTGCTTCCCTTTGGATCCTATGTGTAAACTACAGACTCCTTTGAGGGATGATATTGACCAGATTTGCCCATGGTTCCACTAACCCCTCAAACGGCCTTCACTGAGGATGCCCTGTTTAGCATCATGTTCCTGAAGTCTGGTCAGACAGACTGACCTCAAACTGTCTTCTGAATGAGTAAAAAGCAGAGGTGTCCAGGGTTCCCTAGAGAACGCTTTCCCCAAAACACAAACAGCCTATCAGCACCAAGTACTCACAACTCCTTTTAGCACAATGTCTGTCTCCGAGTCCTCAGAGGGGTAAACTACACCCGGACAGTCAATCAAGAATATCCGACGCATCAAGGTAATATATTGCCAGACCTGAAGAGAAAAAAAAGTCAGAGACATCCCACACCAAATACCAGGATCTAATTTCACAAACCCCTGATGCTCATGTATAACGTTAGGAAGCAGGAAAGGGAGAGTCAAAGAAAAGTATCCTGCTGAGTAATTAAGCTTCTAACTCTCTCCAATATTTGTTCCATGCACAAGACACTTCCACTAAATATAAACTATAGTTTCCATCACCTAAGACTCTAAGAATAATGCGGAAACAGGATCTCTACCTAGAATACCCAAGGAACCTCTCCCTGCATACTCCTGGAAACTTAGTACTACTTAGCCTCTTTGCCTCTAAGCAGAACCATGCTGTTTCCAAAATCCTCTGTGTTCTAGGATATGACCCCCAACTCTCAGAATCTACCCTAAGGTTGAATCCTCTCCCCTTTTTTTGGAGACAGAGTCTCACTCTGTCGCCCTTGGTAAAGTGCTGTGGTGTCAGAGCTCACAGCAACCTCAAACTCTTGGGCTTAAGCAATTCTCTTGCCTCAGCCTCCCAAGCAGCTGGGACTACAGGCACCTGCCACAACGCCTTGCTATTTTTGTTGTTGTAGTTATCACTGTTGTTTAGCAGGCCCAGGCCAAGTTCAAACCCACCAGGCCCAGTGTATATGGCTGGTGCCATAACCACTGAGTTCAAACCCACCAGCCCCAGTATATGTGGCTGGCGCCATAACCACTGAGCCATGGGCACCGAGCCTCCCTTTTTCTTTTTTTGAGACAGAGTCCCATTCTGCTGCCCAAGCTAGAGTGCTGTGGTATTAGCCAAAGCTCACAGCAATCTCAACTCCTGGGCTCAAGCAATCTTCCTGCCTTAGCCTTCCAAGCAACTGAGACTGCTGGTGCACACCACGATGTCCAGCTAATTTTTCTACTTTTAGTAGAGACACGGTCTTGCTCTTGCTCAGGTTGATCTTGAACTGCTGACCTCAGGGATCCTCCCTCCTCTGGTCCCAGAGTGCTAGGATTATAGGCATGAGAGACCATGCCAGGCCTGAGTTTTCTTTCTTAGCTCAGCCTTCAAATTTTATTGGGTTAATTTTGTTTATCAAAGTAAAAGGTTGAAGTGACAATTTAAAACAGACTTATATATGAATCACATTACCCAAATCACGCCAAAGCCACACAGTGGCATATAAAATATTCTCAGTCTTATCAAAGTGGGCAAAACAACTCTGGTAAATTCTAAACTATTATGTGAAGACTTAAAATGGTGGTCTGCATTCAAGAGCAGCGGACAGAAATCTCCATGTCCTAAACAATCACCCTCTGTAGAAATAAAAAACACAGAAGTACTCCCTGAGCCAGACATACCTTTGTTTCACCTGCAATGGGGGCCACATTGCAAACTTTCTTGGATCGTAATGTGTTTATCACAGAGCTCTTGCCAACATTTGGATAGCCAATGAACCCAACGCTGATCTGTTTCTTGTCAGTGTGTAACTGTTCAAAAGAATACACATATATACACGCAGTCATTAAATATACACGCAGTCATTAAGTATCGCTTTGGACAGGCAGGCTGTGTTACTTTGTGAAAGTAACAGTGTAAAACTCTTGATACAACTTGATCTGAAGTCTAGACTCCCACACAACCTACATAATCTGACCAAGCTGGATACATATGCTTATTAATAAATCAGAAGTGAGTCATTTCCTCAGTCATCTATGTGAAATTATCCTTGAAGTTTTTTTTTCCTTAATTAAAAATACTCTATTGCTGGGTGGCACCTGTGGCCCAAAGGAGTAGGGCACCGGCCCCATATACCGGAGGTGGCGGGTTCAAACCTAGCCCCTGGCCAAAAACTGCAATAAATAAATAAATAAAAATACTTTATTGCTAAAAAAAAAAAAAAAAAGCTAACAGTCATATAAGCGGTCAGTTAGTTGCAGTCTTTTTGCTGGTGGAAGGTCTTGCCTCACTGTCAATGGCCGCTGACTAATCAGGGTGATGGCTGCTGAAACTGGAATGGCTGTAGCAATTTCTTATATAATAAGACAACAATGAAGTTTGCCACATCAGTTCACTCCTCTTTTGACAAAGATTTTTCTGTGGCATGTGATGGTGTCTGACCATCCTTGAAGGTTTTAAGGTTAAAAGTATGTATGTCAAAAAACATGGAAGAAGTAGTACATTAGTCATCAATTTAGAACAATTCACTGATAAAATGTCTTTGGAAAGAAAATTTCAACAGATGCACCAACTAACAAGTTCCATGCCCCAACCCTTTTCTTTCCACAATAAGTTTTGCATTTTTATTACCAAAAATAAATGAATGAAAAAGAGTGAACTTGAAAGTTAAACTACTGATGAAAGTCTTAAGAGCTCAGCCTATTATCCAGAAGAAGGCCAACACATGGATGGGGCCGCCTGATGGTAGATGCTAACCTCACTCCCGCCCCAACTTCATGAGAATGATGGCAGTGGGCCTTAACACTTTTAACCCAAGAGAACCAAACATATAAAAGCAAATAATAAGGTGACGATAAGATGATAACACAAAATTAACATGATGTTAAACAAAATATTAGACACTAAAAAGTAACATCGAACCTGGCGCACTACAAAATATAAAAGCTACGTAGTTGCAAAGATAGAAAAGCTAAAAATCCAGAAGTCATGCCAATAAATCACAAAAAGCTGGTAGAGTAGAGGACACATGGCTCCAGTGGTAAGATGAGAGGACTGGCAAGTTTCTCTCCCAGCAGCCATGCCCCTCCACCCCTTCTTCACTGGGATGAGTACACAACTCTCTACCCCAGAAGCAGCATACACCTTAGGAAATAAAGCTTTTTTGGAAATTCTACATGCCTGAAGATATCCTTAATTTTCAGACCTGAAAGGGATACTAGATTTAGAGATAACAACAGTTAAAGGTAAGTCTTCCCAAAGTGATTAATCGAAAGTCTAAATATTGGCTAGTGAGACATTCTCCCCCACCCCACCCCCATTTCCTATTGCCACTGAGTTCCCAGATCCCTGGAGGCCAGGCTTATACATCCCCAGAGTTGGAGATTGGAAGATTCTTTTCTGGAGAAAACTCATAAGCTCAAGAAAAAAGATCCACAGACACAGACATCTATAGGGTGTCCTCCAACAAAATACCTCTACAAGCTGACTACCCAAGGAACTGGAACAAACCCGTCAGCGTAAGGTGGTCAACATAAGGAACTCAGTCTACTGTACTAATACGTCTCAGTACAGGTGGTACATGTCTAGTCTATGAAAATTAGGTCAACTACGGAGGTGGTCAACTACGGAGGTTCTACTGTAGTTGGGTTCCTATCCAATCACCCTATATAGTAAAGTCTATCAGTCAGCAAGTCCGTCCAAGCAACAAAAAATTCTATTCAAGTCCCTTACCCTTAAATATGAATGGAGAATCAAGAATAACTAGACATTTAAGCATGACTCTAACAGAAACTTGGAGGGAACAGAACTATCATAGGCAGAGAGGAAAATTCCAAGACATCACCATTATTAACATTCTCAGAAAGACAGAGAAGACACTGTGTCTGTGAAATAAGAAATCAAAGATGGGGGGCAAATCAAGAGTTAAACAAGAGCTCTCAAAAATTAAAAATTAAAGGAATAGGCAAAATAAACTTTGTGATAGAACAACTGGTTGGTCAAGTCAAGGGAACTCCCCAGAAAATAAAGCAAAATGTCATATATACCAAAATAAACATAAGAAAATTCAAGAATTCAAGCAGGAGGTAAAAGCAAATTTTTAAATAAGAATGAAGAAGACAACAGAGGAGGATAGGAAATGCCAAAGAAATAAGGTAAGACAATTATCAGACTATAAGTCCCAAGAAAGGCCTACTTGGCTAAACAATAAAAGACCCCGAGGCACATCTCTGTGACATTTTAGAAGAAGAATTTTAGCAAAAGATCCCGGGTGCAAAAGATGAGGGGTCAGAATCCCCTTGGATCTCTCAGAAGTCAGCAGACAATGCAGTGGTGCCATCAACACTCTGAGAAGAAAAGGTATGAGGGTAGGATAAAGATATTTTCAAAATGCAAGGTATCTCAAAGAAC